AATGAAACATTTCCTGTTGATACCTCTACAATCTTACCTTATCCCAATGAAACATTTCCTGTTGATACCTCTACAATCATACCTTATCCCAATGAAACATTTCCTGTTGATATTGGAATCGGAGCACACGTCATGTTCACCTTTACTGTTAATGACTCGTCAGGGAATAATGCTACTTGTACATTTACTATAACTGTCCAATGTATGTGATTACGAACTTTTTATTCGATTTAACGTATCCCTTTTCAAATTGAATAGTGGTAGATTCAAGATTGACTTATTTTTTTGTAATCAACTATATAATTAATTTCATTGCTTTTAATGAATAAAATAAATTTAAAAAGCATTCAAGTGGTTGTGGTGGTGGTGGTATATTAAATTTAGAAGAAAAGAAATCATAACACGTATTTGATACTAAATTATTTAAAATACATATGGAATTTAATAAATAATTAATTTGACGAACTGAACTTAAAGCCCCACTCCCGAAAATATTTCACTATTGTTATTTAATATTATTAATATTATTATTTTTTAGATCTCTATTGATATCTAATCATTATAAACCATACAAAAACTGTTGACATAAATTTTAGTTTTACGCAAAAGGGTTTAAAGAAAAATAAGCAATAGAGACTATTGCTAATATTAGATTACCATTTTCTCGACGACTTCTTCGTTACTAGGCTAATCAGAGGTTGTAGATCGCACCCGCTGGAATGCTATCGCTTCTGTCTATGCTTTATACAGTCGTGCGTCGGAGGTAGGCAGCTGGGTAATTGTTTTAATTTGCGAACCCGCAGCATCATTATATATTTTTATTCAGTCCAGCACTTTATCCCACAATTAATTTAAAAAAAAAAAAAAAAAAGTTACTGAACTTTTTACATCTTCCGACACGATCATGAGCAATAAATTAAGTGCGCCCTCTCTAATGAGAATTGGTTTTTGCATCTTGCACACTGCGGCCTATTGAGTTAGCCTGAGATATATTTGTTTAATTGTCGAAGTCCAGGTCAGAATCATTGTTTTTAATAAAAATTCAAAAACAAAATTTCAATGAAATATTGTATTTCAATGCTAGCAACGGAAAATATCATGTCGGCCATTTGTATGTCTGATAACAGAACCTAAACTGAAGTAAGGCTAGGCCTAGTGCAGCAGTGTTGTTAGGCTAATGCTTCTGGCGCTTTCTACATTTGTTCGCAAACATAAAAAAAAAATCATCCGTGTTTATTTTTTGTATAGAACACACAAACAAACCCCATTAAATTTCAGTCTTATTTTGCTTTTTTTTCATGTTTAGTAATTTCGTATTATATTTGTAAACTTTTATAACATAATAAGAATCAGAATTTTATTATAAACTGAAATTTGACCGGGAATGGGGCTTTAAATAAAATAACAAATAGGCCTACATTAGTAAAACTACACTTTTTTATAAGACACATTTTATAAGAACATTGAGGCTGAAATTGCTAAAACAATGTAGAATAAAATAAAAACAAATTGAGGCAGAGGTAATTGAGGTTTTTATTTTTTTAAACAGAAAACCAACATATTCTCTGTGCCTTATTTGCATAGGTGTTAGTGTATAATACCCGCTTTAATACACTACATTATAGACCATACTGCTGTAAAAAATAATTTTAGACGTTTGTAAAATGAAATCTAAGAATATCTTGAGCCTGAAATTGGCAATTTTTTTTTTTTTTTTAAATAAGAACACTGAATCTGGGCAAAGTTTTACTGGATCTTATTTAAAAAAAAAAAATGTGTATCGCGTGATACGGTAACTATTACTTAAATTGTATTTAACATTTGCTGCAGATACAGAAACACCTACTGTAAACTGTCCACCGGACGAGACCGTGGATACTGTTGAAGGTAGTACCACGGTGTCAGTTGACTATTCAAGTAAAATATATGCAACTGACAACTCCGGGGATATCCCTACAATCTCACCTAATCTCAATGAAACATTTCCTGTTGATCTTGGAATTGGGTCACACAAGTTCCATTTTACCGCTATGGACTCGTCAGGGAATTATGATAATTGTACGTTTACTATCCAAGGTTAGTGATTACGCATATTTTACAATTAAACATATCACTTTAATATTTAATAGTGTAAGATTCAATATTAATTTGTTCCTTGTCATAAAATATAGAGTACGATGGTAATAGTATCGACGCAACTATATTGCGAATGTGGCCTCGACGCATGCCACAGTCACATTGTAGTATCGTTATTATTATCATCGTGTAATTGTCACCATCTTCGACTTCTGAAAAGCCACATTTATTAATTATTTATTACTGTTATTAACATATTAATATAAATTACTATTAATGGAGGATTCAAAATTTTAAAAATGTATTTATTAATTGGTCAAACACAAGTAATAATATAAACATGATTCGAAACTTCGGCTGATTATACAAGCATAATATTTTTACATTGTCTAAAATCTGATACTTAAATATAAAAAAAATCAAGTTACACAAACAGCACTGTAAACAACCAAACTGTTAAATAGTAGTTAAAGCATGTTAAAATATGAAAACAATAAAACATTAGGAGGACGAAAATATTAATATACAAAATATGGGTAAAGTTGTATTTTTTTAATCAATAAAACTCTTTCACCATTTCATTTAAATAATCACATGGCATGTTAAAACCTATTAAAACATTAAGAGGAGGTAAAATATTAAAACATTAAAGCAGTTAAAAGAATAATAAAAGCAGCATTTGGCTGAATTTGTTTCAAAAATTCAATAACATTTACCTGTTCCATATTTCACTGAATTGTCTCGTTGCAGATGGAAGAAATTATTTCCTAATTCTTTCTGTTTTCCATCGTGGATATTTAGGCCTAATGCGACCAGTTCTGCTAACTTTAATATTATAATTTATTGATCAAGAGGACAACATATGTCTGCTAAGATTACTTTAAATATATTATTAATTGGCATGCTTACTACAAAGTCAACCTCTTTAATGTCTGTTCCAATTACTCTCTTAGCAATTTTTCTGATTCTATTTAACATTACTCATGTTATTACTACAGTATAATAATTAGCCTATTATATTACTATTATTACTATTATCATTAACATTACAATTGCATTACCATTCTCATTACCATTATCATCACTATCACCATCGCTATCCTATCTCTATCAGTATTGATTTTATTACGAATTTATAATGTTTAACGTCTTACTAAATGATTCCTCCTTCGGACAACGATTGATATCTTATATAACACAACTAAATAGATCCTAGTCATTTTGGTTGATTTTGTACCACGTGACATTAGTTTTTTTTTTTTTTCTAATTTCATCACTCTTGAAATATGACCAGTTTTGTTCCACCGTGCATTTTTCCACTCATATTGTCAATTGCCTATGGATACGAAAAGACTTCACCCTAATGCAATCCTTTGATTGGTTAAAGAGACGAAGGGCTGACTTCTTCCGGAAGGTTAAATCCATGAAACAACGCCAAGTCACGTATATTAACCTCTACGTATAAGCCTAGTTTTTTGCAGAACTTGTCTTAGCGGTGTGCAATATAAATATTTTTTAACAAATGCTTTAGAAAGTATACAATTTAAATTATTTTTAACTTTACCATAGAGATTCTAAAATAGGGTAGTTGTTAAACGCCGCAGCAAAAAGAAAAAAAAAAGAGTTGTATACTGAATATTTATACTGAATGTTATAGTGAGGTATTACTATTATTCTAAGGCAGTTAAAGAGAGTCTCTATTGGAAGTGAAGCTTTTTAAAGTTAATGCTTCTGGCTAGTTTCCTTTATAAGTCTCAATTTACGCTAGCATGTGTTCTTTTAAATTACAACTGGGACAATTTTCAGCCAAGTTTGAACCTTCACTGGTGTTTAAAAACAGTTTGAACTGGTAGACTATTTGGTGTAGTTGGGAATGAGTAAGGCATTTAGAAACATACCTATGACAGCATTTAGCATTTATATAACAATTCTTTTCTGCTGTTTTGCCCTGACATTCATGGCAAGATGATTTTTTTTTTCTCAAAGGTACGTAACGTGTACGATAACCTTAAGAGATAGTAGATAATGTTTTAATATTGCATTACAGTTCAAATAACATTTGAAGAAACTGAATTCAATGACATCGCTTTATCATCTGATCCAGATAGTGTTAATATATCGGCTTCAGTTAAGGACGCAGACGCAGAAGGTATCGATATCAATATTTATTAAGAAAAAAGTAATACTTTAAAGTAAATTATATTTCTATTAGTAAACGATCCTAAGATACGAGAGCATTTTTAAATATTAACTCTGGGTAAGTTTTTTTTTTTTAAACTAGCCTAAATGATGCGCGTTAGCAAAACTACGAACTATGCATACTTAATTGAATTTAGATGGATTTGAAACAATCCATTTTATTCTACAGATGGACCATTCAAAGTGTCTGCAAATCAAACTGTTCTTGATGAATCGACATCTCTGAAAACTCCGTAAGTACTATCGTGTACATTGCATCGCTGCATAAAAGAGATAAATGGTTATTACAACTTACATTATTAATTAATATATATATATATATATATAGATATATATATACCTATATATATATACCTATATATATATATGTATATATATACATATATATACATATATATACATATATACATATATACATATATATATATACATATATACATATATACATATACATATAATCAAAGGAAAGTTTATATATATATACCTGTTTCAATCGAGGAACCAGTCGAGATTTCATTTATGCTTTTATATATAGTATTTCCATGTTTCGGTGTAGCAGTTTGATATGAGAAAATATAAACATTCTTGATTATTATTTTGTTGACTTTTTTCAGAAAAAAAGGTGTCAACATATTGTCTAATACATTTCAATTTACAGTGGTATTATTATATAATGTTATCTTTATATAATTTTTAACAATGTATTTTGTATCATTATTTTGCAGTGGAGAAGGATTAAGTAGTGCTTCTGATATTGTGAGCATCGATATTTATAATAAAAACAATGTGAAACTTGAGGTTAAAAGTTTTGAAGTTAATTTTCCCGTAATTAAGGTAAACATACATAAGTGTAACTATTTTGAATACATTATATAATATTTTGAACTACAAAGTAAGATGTAGGTAAGTTAAAAACTACTACCACCATGAGAGAGACAGTTTTACAAAATAAAAGAGTTGATAAACTTCTTTGTTATAGAATGTTTGCTTTCCAATTCCAGGGTATTAGATTCAAACCCTGCCGCATGCTTTTTTCTCAGGACTAAAGGAATTCCATTTCTTACACAGAGATACTAAATTTTTAAAGCAACGTTACTGTCCGCTTGTTTGCGTGTTACTTGCTGTTGGATGTAAACAAATTAAAAATCAAGTACGAAACACACACCTTAATATACTTACATTTTTACCAATAAGCACAGCCTTTTCGGGGAGATATTTTTTGTAAGGTGGTTTTCATGAGTAGTCATGCTTTATGGGCATTTGTCGAAGAAGTTGATGAATTAACATCAATTTTTTTAACAAACTATATATGAAGGTAGATAGTACGAGTGCGAATCAGTTACCGGTATGTCACTATACACACGATGAAGATGTCATATTGGCGTAAGTAAATATTCTTAAATTATTATAACATAATAATGGTAATAAATATTATAACAATAACAAAAATAGACTGGCGTCTATAGCGTCCCTATAGCTTAAGAGAATGTTGTAATTTCAACAGAACAGTACAGAAAGTCCAACCAGAATGACAAAGTAGGCCTATTCACTGGAAAAAATCCCAATATTTGCAGAAGGATCCGTTTCGGCCTTATAGGCCTTATCAGTGCAGCTAGGGTACAGACCCAGACGAAACGTTAGACCAGCTTAGCAGAGCTTAGGACAGCCCCACTTGGAACACCACTAATGAACACAAAGCCAAACTCGATTGTGGAGATATATTTACCAGCTTGTAATGCTGACTAAATTTAAACTCCTGTATATCCAATTGATTGAACATGCTTCGGTGACTTCATGTTTTCATCTTGATCAACTGTTAAGTGTTGTTCACAAACTTTGATTAATTTTTAAGCGAATGGTTAACTAAAGGCTGTAAAACTCACAATAAAAACTATGTCGAAAACGGCGTGAAATGTGTATGTGATCATCTGACATCCTTTGTCATATTGATGAAACCGGAGGTATGTACTAAAATTATTTTTAAAAAATAGGACGTTATGGATATATAACTAAAATAATAAAAATACACATTTGTTTAACAACCTCAGTAATCTCAATTAGTTTCACCTGATTTCTGTAATGTATGAACATAGCAAATTTCTTGTAAGTAAATCATTAAAATATGTACGTACTGTTTGAGACGTTTCGATCCGTTATCAACGGATCATCAGACAGTGACTGGTCTGCTAGTTGTTGACGGTTTTCCCCGATGTAGTTGGCTGCCCTCTACCAGTAGTATAATTTTGTAGATGTTCAAACCTCAGTAATAATCCAATTTCATTATTTTCTAGAAAAACGAGAACAACATTTTGTCCTTGCTTACACAAGTTGGGTTGTCAATTTCAATCGTGTTTCTCATAATTACTCTCGTCACCACCTGTGTTTTCAAGTAAGTTGGGATAATTATTTTATATTTTATGTCAGTATTAATCATTAAATAAAAATATTACATACATTTGGTTCTTGAAAGAAAATTTAAGTAAAAAAATCATCTAGTAGGCCTAATTTATATCTTATATGCAGCGAATCATTTTACATAGACGCCGATGTCCCGAAATATTACTAAACATGAATTTCCTACTCTCTGTTTATTTTTCGGGAAATCATTGATTTTGAGTATAATTTGAGTAGTAAGCAATCAAACATATAATTTGGGTTATTTGTATTTCAGAGATTTAAGAAATTCTGAGAGATATAAAATCCTGCGCCACTTGGTCATCGCTTTACTTTGTGTCAATTGCTTCTTTTTGTTACTCGAAGTTGATGTAGAAGAATCGGTATGTCTCCTATTTCTACTCCACAGCACCAAAAAGTATAGAATGGAAAGAGGTGCCACTCTCGATTCTCTTTTAAACGCGATCCTAGTCTACCAAAAAAAATTACCATTGAATTAAAAACATATTAAAAGAAACAGAAATGCTACCCTATGCAGGCCTAATATCGTATATTATGTGTAGTTCCTAAACATTCATTAGCTAAATAGTAATGTTTAGCTTATCATGAAACAACTACCGATTTCACAAAATTAGCTTGCGCCTTGATCTGTGGCGCCACCTAGCTTCACGGTCACCACAACAACAAAGGTGGCACAATGCTTGAGTCAGGTCAACTATAATAGTGCAACTCCCTTTCTTGTGATTTTTCAAATACCTAAGTGTTACATGTTACAATAGGAAATAAAGTCACTGGTTGTTTAGTATGAATTATGAAGAAATATATAGGCAGGTGCTTAATATTATTCATCCGCAGTCGTAATTTTGAAGATCCTACAAATAATTTATCACTATTAATGAAAAAAAAACATACATACACTTAGTTTATATTTTGGTGTTTTTTTTTTTTATTAAATATTATAATTTTGTAAATTTAAATGTTAATTAATAATTGTCACAATCCTATCACAATCTTATCATGGGCAACAAAATGTTCACAAGATGTCGGTTTTTTGGTGATTTCATGCTTCTTTAATGACGTAATTGCGACGTTTTGGTATTCCCAACATGCCGTGCAACGGCGTCAATAAAACCAACATTTGAGCAATTCAGCCATTAATGTAAATATCAATAATCAGCATTTTATTTGTTTTAATGCATGGGAGAGACAGAACTAGCCACAGATAAGCTCTACGGGTAACATTCGTTGATCTCTCGTAACAAACGCGTGTATTGAGTGTGGGAAAAAAACCTTTAGATATCTATATGTAGGACTTTTGCGTGTTTTCGTTCCATTGTGTGCATGAAAATTGTTTCATTCTAAAAAAGGGGCAATATAATTCTTATTATACTAATGATAAACATAATGATAATTACAATAATTATAACATGACGAAAGTAAATAGCAACAACGACGACGACAGCGATGCAAAAAATATAACCACAAAAATAAAAATGACAAAAATAATTGTAACGAAAAGTACAATCAAAAACAGTATTCACGAAAATGATAAAGGAGGAATGTATTTTTAAAGATTTTTTTAGACATAACGTAACGTAAAAAAATATTTAGACTTACTATTTCTGTTTTTACAGAACATATAGCTTTTTCTCATTGCCATCATAAGATACATTTACAAAAAAAAACTCATTTAATTTTAAGTCTAGCGTAATAATAACACATGAAAAACAAAAAGGAAATCATCCAGAATAATATAAAGGAAAATATAAAGTTAAAACACATGAAAACTCGACGCAGAGAAACTCAAACTATGTTGCTATAATATTCAAATTATCTAGAATGATGTCTTATTTTGAAATGCACATTGTTAATATGGTCTTTGCTAGGAAAATGTTTGAAGAAGATTAAAGCATGAAAAATGTCTAAAGTGCCGGTCATAAACACTGTGCAAAAATAGGAAATATGGATGGAATAAGAAAAATAAGTTAGAAAAAAATAGCAGCTTTTTATACAACAAACTAAATGAAGTAATAAAAACATGAGGAAAAACTATCTCGAGCTGTAGCTGCAATGATAATTAGTACAAGAAAAATACAGGGTTGTAAAATGTAACAGAATTTCTTTTTTTTTTATGGTTATAAATAGGTAATTTAGGTCATTCAATTACGTGTCAGGACAAATAGACACGCCACAATTTGTTTCCATTCAAGGCAAGATGACTTGTTATAGTGTTTGTGTTTATATGTCCTTCCAGGTCTTTTTTAAAGTCAGGCTCCGGAGGAAAACAATTTTTGATATGTTGCAGACAGAAAAAAGTAGTTTAAAGGTGTGAAAATGGGCGGTTACGCCCCTTTTCCTCCAGTTTTTAAATATTCAATAATCTGTATCTCGTTCACCGGTCCCCAGTTTTTCGTCAAACAACTTTTTTCTGTCTTAGAAAAATCAGTTCTACAAATATTTCTCCCTCCAGAATCTGTCTTTAAATTTGGCTCATCCAGTTATTTTTGGGTCTACCTATTGGTCGTTTTACTTTCCACTTTAGCTCTCCAATTTTTTGTTTGACTGGTGTTTCGTCCGGTAATCTAATTATGTTTCCGTACCATTTTAGTCTCATGATTTAATTCTTATGCTCCTTTCTCCCTGTTTCGTTATTATGTATAGGCTTGCATTACTAACATTATCGGTTAATTTATTGTTTGGCATCTTTCGTAGCATTTTCCTGTGATAGATGTCAATGCTTTCCTTTAAATTCTTGTTCAGGACCCAAAGTTCACTACTTATATTTTTAAAAAAATACTTGCAACGTACGCGTCAAACAGTCTGCACTTTACTTCTATTGACATGTTTCTGTTTTTTCTAGTGATGCTTTTACTTATAATAAGCCATAAATGCTAGTAATTTGCTTCTTCTAATGTCCTTCGCTGTGTCAAGATTACTCTCCAATTATATACAGTGTTCCCATTTTCGATTAGTATTTCTTCCTATTGGATATTCTTCTGTTTTAGTTTCATGAATGTCTAGGTTGAAGGCTAGTAATTTCTCCGTAACATATTTCTTTATTTTGTTTATATGTTCTTAGAGTTTCTGAAAAATGATATGTAGCTGCTGTACAGTTGGTGATGGAGGATTAGTATCTACTGTTTCAAGTATTTTTGCGTAGAGAGAGAGGCAATCGCTTTTTGTGGTACACCCAAATGTGTAGTAAAAGGCTTCCCTGCATTCTTCTCTATTCGAACGCTTAACATTATTTATCCAAACTTTATGCATGTTTAATTGAACCTCTTATAATAGCCTGGTTCTCACGAACCCTAGTATCCGGATCGGTAGCTAACCGTTAGCGCTAAGCGTTAGCACCTGCGTTAGAACGCCCAATCGGTTAGCAAGCGCTATCGGTTAGCACGTTGAGCGCGTTTCTATCATCAACCAATCACAAGTACGCGTTTACAATTTCCAGTTTTTTTTTATATTTTTTATCGTATGGACGCACGGCAGCTAACGGTTAGCAGGGTCCGGATCACTGAGCTGCCGTGTGAGAACATAGCCAATATGTATGCAAGTGTTTCGAAAAGTTTCTTCTCACTGTGTCAAATGCGCTGGTTATGTCTAGGAGTAAAAATATTATTTCGTAATTAGTTAAAGTAATACCCTTTTTTATGCCCAACAAGTTTACATGTATGTACAGTTTCACTGTTCCTGGTGTTCAATTGTGCTTAGTCCTTTCCGATATGCGGCTTGAGTTACAAGGATATGGTTATCTATTCTATAATTTATCCTATTTAGTAAACATATCGCTAGTATTTTCCTTAGTACAGACAACAGAATGATGGGTCGGATATTTTTTAATGGACCTCTTGTTTTGCCTGGTTTAGGAATTGGATGCAGCATGCCTTCGTTAATTTCTTTGGGTACGGTATTTTTCCTGTTTTAGCTTTTTTATTGTAGATTTCTGCTGTGTGGTCATAAACTTCCATCGGTGCATACTTGATCATTTCAGAAACAACGTCATCAGTTCCGGGACTTTTATTATTTTTTAGACATGTAGTTGCTTTAGTGACTTCTTCACGCGTGAAGGGTAATCATTTCTGTTGGCTTAATGTTGTTTTTAATTGAGTCTTCTTGGGTTTTGTGATATACTTTTTAAAAAAATCTACTTATTTTTTTCATCTGTTCCTCTTCATTTGCTGAAAGATCGAATTCTCTTTCTACTACAAGTCTTTTATTGTTATTTAATTTGCGGTTTTTAACAGCATGGTACATCCTAGTTGAGTCATCTCTGCATTTTTCTATCTCAACTATCTTTTCATTTACTTCATCTTTTTTCTAGGAGACAGCAAGCGGAATAATAATGTAATGAATAACATAAATTAAAACAGAAGAGGAATGCAGCCCCAACCATGGTGAAACTGAGGGTGAACTTAGGGTGGTACACCTTCTATTCGAAGTCACCATTTTGATATAGCACTAATATTGCACGTACTAGACTGTCCGAGATCTACAAGATATTTCCTCATCCTTGCAT